CACTTCGATTTTTAATAAAGCAATCATGTTGGGAGTTTGACTCTTAAGATTCGGAGAGCAGTGTCTATTCAATTTTTGAGAAAGTAATCCTGTTGGGAGTGTTTTCTCGAATGTGAGTAAAGGTTGGGCATTTTTGCCAGTCTGCTTTGCCACGGAGCACGGAGGTTGACACACATTGGGACTTTCTAGTTATCAAGCAGTGGTGCTGTTCCTTTACCCTTGTGGGTAATAGTAGGGTAGTTGGACCTTCAAAATTTATGTGTCTAAACTTTTTCAGAGATCTTTGACAAAGTTATCTATGGTACCTGAAGAGCTGATGTTGCGTGTGGAAAGTGGTGCCTCTTCGAAATCCGGAGATTGGTGCCTCTTCGGATTCCGGAGAGTGGTGCCTCTTCAATTTTTGAACCAACGGCCATGTTGCATTTTCTTTTATAAGGGCACCAATTGTGTGCAAGGAGTACATTAAGAAAGTTATTGCTTGTAGGAATTTTCCCCTTACTTCAGAGATTTATTGCTTCTCATTTCCCCTTCATCATTTCTGAGAATGTCTGGCCCATCCGATCGTCGTTTTGACTTGAACTTTGGTGAAAAGGCAGCCATGCCTTCTCAAGACAACATATAGCCGTTATGCTCGTGGTAGCAGCAAGACGTGCTCGTGTTCTTCGTGGGCTTGTAATCCGGGTGCCTCGGCTTTGGCTTCGGTATCAAATGTGCTATGCTGGGGTAAATGACCACGCATGTGGTGTTCAAAGGTGTGTATGCATCATACCTCGGGGTAGGGGTTGTCCTGACACGTGCTTGACCCATTGTGTTGACTGCATGGGGTCAGGGATTATCATGGCTATACCATTGGTTATCGCGGTAGTGTCCCTTACTCCTTTTACTAAAATGAGACTGGTAAGGATGAAAATCTTTCATTTTGCCCTGAGATTGATATGTCTGTTGACTTGGTAAAGTATTAAGTAAGGCAGGGGGAGGCACCGCTGCCGTTTGGAAGGTCGAGGTCTTCTCATTTGGTTGGATCTGGCTTCCACTCCCTACTTGCTGATAAGGGGTAGTTGTGGGGGGGGGGGTTTCCCTTGATATGTCATTGCCTCGGTGGAGGCATAGTTGTAAGCCTGTGCCATCACCTTATAGTAAGTCTTCCAAGTGTTGGCATTGATCATGTACTTAAAGAAACAATCACGTAGGCTTGCCGTGAAGGCCTTGAGGACGGTCTTGTCATCTGCCTCAGCGCAGTGAGAATACTCATGGCTGAAATAACCAGCATACTCTCGTAGTGACTCGTCCGGCTTTTGGTGAATAATGTACAAGTCATCTGCAGAATACAAGCAATCGGTTTGAAAGATGTGTTGAGAGATAAACAGTTTCCTCAGTTCCTCAAATGAGTCTACTGTCTCAGGTGAAAGACGGCAATACCAGTTTAGAGCTCCGCCAGAGAGGGTGGAGGGGAAGAGAAGACATCGCTCTTCATCGGTGTGCATCCGATATGCCATGGTGGACTCAAAGAGGTTAATGTGTTCAATTGGGTCCTCCTTTCCAGTATAGAGTTGTAAACCAAGCTTTTGTTTTGTCTTCGTTTGAAATGAGGTGTCAAGGATCCTCCTTGTGAGAGGGCCAGGCCTGGGTTGGTTCCAGTCAAGTATCTCGGCCTGACGTTCGGCCTTCAACTTGTTTACTTCCTCAATGAGTTGTAGGACAAAAGGGTCTTGAGTGAAGTCATGTACCATTGGGATTTTCTTTCGTAAATCTCCATCGCCTCTTGGAAGTAGGAAAGTTTGAGCAAGGGCGTACGATTTTTCCTTGGACTCGCCGTATGACTTCTTGGGCGAGTCTGTCGGAATATCTCAGAGTCCCCTGTACCTTCATGTTCCTCTAGGACATGTCGTTCCTTCCCTATATTGGCAGCTGGCCTGGGTCGTGGGAGGGGATCGAGTCTTTCAGAAACCCTTGGGTCATTGATCTTCGAGCATATGTGGAGAGGATTCTCTTGATGTTGCTTTAGGAAGTATCTGCAATCACGATAAACGGCATTCGATCATTCCAACCTTTCTGCAAAGAAGTGTCTTCCTCCACTTCTTCTGCTTCGGGTCGAAGCAATTGGGTTGAGAGAAGTCTCATGTTGATCAATGTTTTGATGATTAGCTCGCTCCTCATCAGGGATACCCATGTCGAAGAAAGGTGACCCTCCGTGTTGGGGGGCACCCAGATGATGGTTGATGTCTACAGGGGCAACAAGCTCGCGTGTTTGAGTACGCATAGTTTCGTGGAGCGTTTCAAAGAGCTTTTCATACTGCTCTTGAAGGACCTTATTCTTCATTGCTATCTTGTTGTTTTGAGCTTTTAGCTCATCGACTTTAGCTTGAAGAACAACCATTTTTCCTTCCTTCTTTCGTTGCTTCGCATTAGGTGCAAGAGAGGTGTCATTCTGTGTGATGTGGCTTCCTTCGCTCCCCATGTTGGAAAGGGATGCCTGGTCAAAAGATTGTGTACAATTTGTGGAAACCAGCTTGAAAAAGCTGAAGAGAGTGGGAATAAGTGTCGTTCCCACAGACGGTGCCAAATGTTGATGCACAAAATCAGTAGGGACTTTGGTACAACAGAAAGTGTTAAGTTTGTGACCTTCGCTAGATTGCTCCGGTCACTAGTGTGGATAAGTATGTAAATGGATAGGGACAGGGAAGCAAACACAAAATGTACATGGTTCACCCAGATTGGCTACGTCCACGGAGTAGAGGAGTTCTTATTAATTGTGAAGGGTTTACACAAGTACATATGTTCAAGCTCTCCTTTAGTGAGTACTAGTGAATGATTTAGTACAAATGACATTAGGAAATATAGTGAGAGATTGATCTCTATTTATAGAAAAGAGTTTCTAGTTTCATTCTGACATTGGCACGTATCGTGTTGTGATTGGCTTCTGATGTTGACACGTGTCGCGCTATGATTGGCTTCTGATGTCTACACGTGTCGCGCTGTGATTGGCCTCCTGGTTGTAGGGAAACTCTTATGGGTCCTTGACGGTTTAACGTTGACCGGTGCTCAGTAGTTTCGGGATTGGTCAAGTATGGTACAAACATATTATATTATAATATATATGCTATGCGATCTATATTGAATTGATGATATAGTAAAGAACTTTAGCTTTAGCCGGTCGTGACCAAGAAACCATCGATTTCACCTGGTGGGTCGGGAATGCCCGACTTATCAATTTATTCGGTAAACTATAACCTCAACTCTATTTATCGATCTGGGCAAGATACGACCAAAAGCCCATGTCATGATGAATCATGCGATGTATTGGTGATGAGTATATAGCGCAACTTGAGTAGTAAAGTCTTGTGCTATGAACACTTAAGCAGGTAAAGAGTACAAGTGTTGAGTGACCAAACTAAGTTGATTATTAGGAAATCTTGAATCAGACCATTTTGCACTTACTTCAATAAAGGACGAGTAAGCCTCCTCGATAGAAGAATTTTTTTTTTTATCTTGGTTCCAGTTCAATAGTAAACATGTCCAAACTAATTGAATACTTGTGCCGGAAATTCCCCGAATTGGTTTACCGTTTCCATAAAGTATATAATTTACAACTCTAAGTTCTAGATTATCCCTTTCCTGCAATGGATCATGGGGGAAAAGTGTTGCTAAATTTATATTGTCTGCCATTTCATATATGATTACATGTCGAACCAAAACAAAATACTTTTCTTGGTGGGTGTGATCCATTGGACATAAATCCAAATTTTCAATTTTTTTGATTCCTTAGATTTTTTTTTTACTATTTCCGATGGTATCAATATGCCGCTATGTCAGAATATCTTATTCATCTCTCTATAGTGGAGATAGTCGCACGTAATGACATATCACGACCATATTATTAAAAGCTTGTGGTAGGAATGAATTTCGCTCTAGTGCCTGAAAATAATATTCTAAAGCTTTCGTAGAAAGAATAAATAAAAAAAGAAAAAACAAAGAAAAAAAGAAGGGAGGGGTAGGGATTAGTTACAAGATAAGTTAGGGTTACAAAATATTTATTTTGATAATAAAGCGCTCTTAGTTCAGTTGGACTTGAAGCCAAGTAAAGGCAGCTTGCTGTTGAGTTATAGTCTTGGACTTAGGTGGGAAACCTCAGTTAAACAAACTAGTAATCTAATTAGTCATCTAATCTTATGCTAACGACAGTGGAACTCTTGCGAGTAATGAGAAGGTTTAAAAAATGAAGCCCATTTCTTTGAAATCCCACTATAGTAATGCCAATAAAAATAGAAAATGAGATACCCAAAGTAATGAAAAAATGACATGTAACTGTGAAGCTATAAGGTATTATCCATTCCTACTGACGGTTAGAATTTCTTTGAATATGTCCTTGAATTCTTTCGGGACGTGAGCAAAACTCATATTGTAGAAGAATATGGTCCATGGGTTTCTCCTTATTGGAACTATGTTTCTATTTATTTTTGTTTCGAATTGGTTAGGGGCTCTTTTACCTTGGAAAATCATACAGTTACCTCATTTTAAGAATTTTTTCAATACCGAAACAAGCAAAGGTAATCGATATTCGAGTGATAGATTGTAAGACGTATATCTGGTGAAATAGTTAGTGCATGAAGTTTTTGTATGCCTTTCATCAAAAGAAAACCATTACGATCATTTGATCCTAATTGGATTAGGTTTTTGTGTCTTGCGGAACAAAAATGGTCAATCTCAGCAAAGTCAGTGGACTTCGCTACCTTTTCGGAGCATAGCTGGATGTGATGGCATCGTCGCATCCATTTGAGCAGCTCAACCCAATCAAAGTTGTTGAGTCCATGATCGGACCTCTAAAGCATACGTTTTTCAATCGCCTTACTCTGGCCCTAAAAAATCATGATCCCACAATCTTCATATCCTTATTTTCTGGTAATTTTTTGTTTTTTGTTTTTTTTTTACAATCGATATTATTTGTTTGTGTGCTGATTTCAAAACTTTCGAGCAAGAGTTACTAATAAAAATTACCTTGATTATTTCATTAATTGGATTTATTGATTGTGAGCTATATATATATATATTCGTTTCAAGCAAAGGAGCTCAGATTACAAGTTGGGACCACAGCATTCATAACAGAAGCAGTAATTATTGACAGTAAAAAGAGGAGGTAAATCACTTAAACAAGATTAGGGTTTTAATTAACAAGTGGCATACTTCTGGGTCCAACTCCGAGCCGTTGACTCATATTTGACTTTGTCACTCTTGCACATACGAGCAATCTCAGGCACAAGAGGGTCATCAGGGTTTGGATCGGTCAGCAATGAACATATGGACAGTAAAACCTGCATTAATCAAGTAATTATCAGTAATTAGATTTCAATCAGAACAATAATTTAAGACGCGCGCCACCGACTATCGTCTAACTTATGTGTGACACTTGACCGAAATTTCCAACTTGTCTCAAAAAATTAAGATTCTAAGTTAGCTTAAATATGAATCAACAGAAAACTACCTTGGAAATGGTGAGTGCTGGACTCCACTGCTCCTTGAGAATGTCCAAGCAGATACTGCCGTTGCTGTTTATATTTGGATGGAACACTTTAGTTCTGAAGGCAACCTGCAGATTCTCACTGAATTAGCCGGTAGAAAGACTAAGATCTTGGGTATTTTCTGTTGCCGGTCTTATATTGTCATATTGCAAATCCCAGACAGACGTTTAAGCAGTAACAACAATATGATCAATCTTTCACATCCACAACTTGACAATATAAACATCTTAGCTTAGCATACACTATACAGTTTGAAACATAAACGTCTTATGTTGCTAGACAATCTGACGATGACAATATAAACGTCTGAGCTTAACATACATTTTGAAACATAAATGCCTTATGTTACTAGAAAGTCTGACAAGAAAACATTTCACCGAAAGGTGACAAAATTATGCAAGAACAAGAGTTTTGTGGAATTTTCTTGTTGCATACCTTTGGAGGTTTGAAAGGATAATCAGGTGGAAAATGGATAGTCACAAGGAAGACACCCCCAGAATAAGGGCTATCATTTGGACCAATTATTGTTGCTTGCCAATGAAACATGTCCTCAGCCACAGGACCTGAACAAAGAAGAAAACAACACCATAAAAATTACAATTACTTCTAATCTCTTCTCTTCTTCATACTTGGGTGTATGCAAGTTGGTTAGAACAGTGTGCTCCTTATTCACCAAAGTTCGAACACCTTACCCGTAGTTCAGATTAGATTGACTAGAATACCGCTCGAATAGAAAATTGAAGAATAATTTCTTCTTTTCTTTTACCTGCACTACATGAAGTTGGTGGATCTCTTTGCAAGTCCTTGAGCTCCTTCAATATTCTCTTTGAGGCCATTCAATTCAACCACTTCCAAAAAACTGAAGCTTGTTGGTTTATGTTGGGAGGAGGTGGTGGTGTATTTAATGAGAGGGGTGGTGGTGGTGGGGGACCTGCTGCTGGTGGTGGACCTGGAGGAGAGGTTCATGAATTCATACTGCGGGTTGATGAAAGTGGGAAACAGAATCAGTTCCAGAAACAAAAGTTGAAAAGCAAAAGAATCAAGAGAGTCGCATCAATGTGAAATGTAGCACAAAAAATTCATAGATATTATTTGCTGTCACAAGTCTCTAGTCATTATTCTGTTTACAGAATTCTAACTTTATGTCACATGTGATTTGCTGCAAATTTGATTACTTGTGCATAAGTTGGAAGAACTTTTCGGTGTGATTGCTACGTCGTCCTAATAACATCATGTAGCTCTTAAAAAATTTCTGCAGATGCTTCCTACCACCCAAAAGAATTAAAAGATATATTCGTGCTTAGCCTCAAATAGTTCATGTCTTGAGTTTCTGGGACAATTCCAAAGTTGATGGGCTGTAGATCAATTTAGGTGCGGACATTCGCGTTGAAAATTGTGGGAGGCCGAACAAATGACAAAATGGTCATTTGCCCAGCCTCTCACGGACCACACTTGAACATTTTTGTATATGTTCATACAGACACATACATTACAAACAGAGATTTTTGTACATGTTCATACGGACGCATATATACATTACAGAGAGAGAGAGAGAGAGAGAGAGAGAGAGAGAGAGAGCATTGTCACACTAACATTCAAGGCTGCAAGAAAAATTATCATGATTCTTATAATACATATACATAATCTTGAATTTTGAAGTGTACTAAATCAGATTACACGATGTGGATATTATCGTCGCTTAAAAAGTAGAATTTCAGTACTATATAGAGACAATACATTAGGGAAATCAAACCCGAAGAGAAGAGGTTTCTGCATGTTACTAACATCGTAATGCAAAGCACTAATATACAAATCAGAACACTGCAAGGACAGCACAAACAAAGAACTTGATGCATACGTAAAGAGTGCTCCTACACCTGTCAGTCGCAACTACAATTCCCAGCCTGTGGCTTCCTCCAGGCGGAAAAAGATAGCACAGGGGCTGAGAAAGATAAATGGATAAATGGCTAATTGGTCGCACTTTCTTCTGACAATCACAAATCACAATATAGAGCAGGCCTTCTGTGCCTTTCTCTTCTTTCTCTTCTGCTTTGGTGGCTGGAGAACCACTTTAATGGCTGCATCAAAGACTGCTTTCACATTCTGCATTCACAAAGGAGTATTTTCCGCAAACAATGTTAGACCAATGCATACTTTCCCCATCGGTCTAAACTAATCTGAATTGAAGTTACAAACCTGCTGTGTTTTTGAACTGCATTCTATGTAAACCGGAGCCCCAATCAGCTTCTTTAGTTCCTCTCCCTTCAAAAGGAACCCAAATGAGAAACCAAAAAAAATGTAGAAAATCAGGTCTTTATCCTATTAGTTGCCAGACTTTGTGAGAAAAAAAAGAAAAAGAAAAGATTGATGTAATAGTTAAGCAAAGAAATATGCGACTGTAAATTCATGTTGCACCAGAAAATACCTGCGCTGTGGTAATTGGCACTGCACCAGGGTGATCTACAAAGAACTGCTTGTCATCTCGAAGATCTACAACAATAAAATATAGCAGTCATGAAAAGCAAAGGATGAGTGACGGAAAAGATAAAGAGTACATCCAGTATGCTACTGCAATATAACATGATGTTTACTAGAGTACATGTGGACACTACGACAACATAACCAAGACATGATTGGATGAGGCAATCCTGATGATATCAGACAAATCTTTGTATTTCAAAATGCACATGTAAATCCAACATATGTACATATTTAAATGCTGATTGGAAAGGGGGTTTACAAAGAGCACCTGCTGATAAACAATTTAGTGCCATTACAAAGAGAAAGCTGTCACAAGGTTCTTCAAAATTAAACTTGTAACCTTTGCTAAGCTTTTATCATAAGAATCCATTGACATTCTAAAAAAAGGCTAATAAATAAGTATAGATTGCATGAAAAAGCAACCCAGAGAGTGTAACAAAAAACAGAAACAATCAACACAAAAGATGCAATTGACCATCCCTTTCGATCTTGAAGTATGCAATGAACCCTATTGGATCCAACCAAGAATTCTTAGGTAAGCAACAACCCTAGGAAAAAAATTCATAGGGAAAAGAAAACTACAGAATAATAGAGCAATTGAAGTCAAAACTCATAGTAATCACAACTCAGGAGTAGCGTAATAGGAAACAAAGGAAAGCAAGGGGGTAGAGAGATTCTAGAGATCTAACCGAGCTTAGTTCCAACAAGAATAATTGGAACACCAGGTGCATAATGCCTCAACTCAGGAACCCACTAAACATTAAAGCAGGAAAGAAAGAAAGCTTCATCAGTGAACTTAGACATCAATGATCATACAATAGTAGATGAAAGAAGAGGGTGGTGGAAACGAAAGAATTGACTGTGGATAGTTTGTCTTACCTTCTTGGCAACATTTTCATAGCTGGCCTTGCTTATGAGAGAGAATGCAAGTAGGAATACATCTGCCCCACGGTAGCTCAATGGTCTTAATCTATTGTAATCTTCCTGCCCTGTTTCACAAATTTAAAACATGAGATCCAAGCTTTAGAAGAAGACAAAAGGAAGGAATGTTTGTTTTGTTTTGGACTTACCAGCAGTATCCCACAACCCCAAATTAACGGTGTTCCCATCGACAACAACATTTGCACTGAAATTGTCAAACACAGTTGGCACATAATCCTGTTCCCCAGAACAATGGAAGACAGTAAATCGTAATCAATCTCTTGAAAAGTCAATCTCATACAGAAATAAATAAATAAACATATGAAAACAAAAGTATTGAAATTTTTAACAATCACACAAATGCAAATCTATATGAGAAAACTCTCAAAGTTACATGCATGCCATACTTTTTGAATCACAAAAAGCACCTTACGCCGAGCAATCGTATAGTCTATTAAACAGGTATAACGCAGAAAGGTGTCTATTCACCATTTATGATCAATCAAGGAATTGTGTAAGCAGAGAAATCTGTAGACATGAAATTTATCGAAGCTCAACATTCAACTCAGTTACTTGGCTTAATTGTGAGATAAGACTAGATACTGGTTAAGGAATGGCAAATCAAAGAAATGGTCAAAGTCAAATGGGCAAAACCAAGAACTCCTACTAAATTCTGCACTTCAACATAAGCATTTTGATCATTTCAATTCAAGCACAAGAGCTCAAACTTGATGTGAAATACAAGATTTCTTTGTAATACTTTACATACCAAATAGAGGGTAAACTGAAAAATGTTGAAAATAATAGTTTAATAAATTAAAAGCCGGAAATTGTTCGCGTTAAAATTGAAGTTGAATTTAGCATGAATTACCACAATACACCAACTACCCCCAATCAAATCATGAGAATCAAGTTTCTTCTCATTTCCTGATTTTGTGTGAAAACACAAATGATGAAACACAATACACAAAACAAAGCTTTTCTTTCTTTCTCCCACATTTTCTTGGAAACCAAACAAAGAGAAAGAAACTTGCTCAAGAAACTTGCAGCAAACCCACATTGAGTGACCAGAAAACCCTACTGGGCTCAGCTAAGCAAACCCAACTAAAGACAAACCTCAAAGACTCAAACTTTTCACATTTTTTCCTTCACTTTCTCAGCAATCAAACGGAAAAGGAAGAAAAGAAGAGAAGTTTACCGTGGGGAAAGTGTTGCTGGTGTAGGAGATGAGCATACAGGTTTTTCCCACAGCTCCATCCCCAACTGTGACACACTTTATGAACCTGGAGGCACTCATTCTCCACCCAACTCTGCCTCTTCCTTCTTTACTTGTGCTTCCACAAAAACCCTAATCCAAAATTCAGCAGAGGTTTCTGATTTCTTTAATCCCCAGAATCCAGACAAGTTTTGAGACCCAGAGAGACCGGTGGGAAGGGAAAGATGAAGGGGGCTGGGCCTAAAAGAGCCAGCTCTTGCCAGCTATAATAAAAGAGTATGATATTAATGTATTACTGTGCACCTCGATGACTCGATATCCCAATTCAGTAAATTCTGTTGTGTCCGTCTCACTGTCACTGTCACGTGAAGTTGTGTGTAACTTTCACACTGTCGTATAACACACGTACAATATTATATATAGAATTAAGACGTATGTATTTAGTTTTCCACTTATATTATAACACGTAAATTAGTAAAACTACGTCTCAATGTGACTGTTACGCACTAAATGTTGCCCAATCAAAGTCCCAATTCAAGTTTCCAACATTTCTTTAGAACTCAGTAAAACTCCACCAACAAAACACCTCTTATGCCTTCTTGAGTACCTTCTAATTCAAGAGATTCAAAAGAAAATCACAAGATTACAAGTAGTTAGTTGTACTTATTTATTATTTTTTTTGTTTTTGTTTTGTTAAACGATAGATTTGTTAGATTAAAAAGTCATCAAAGTTTGAATTCACGTCGTGATGAAAGAGCAATACTACTCTTCACTAATAAAGATTCACTTGCGAGACGTTGTACCTATTGGGGAAACAAAAGAATATAGCCAGGCTATTAATTTGAATTTCGAGGTTTGATCCATTTATTCTGTGTGGGGTTATACCATCCAACTTGGTACCAGAATTTGCATGTGTAGTTGTAAACCCTAAAAAGCTGTGCTTCGTGCATGGCAATTCTGTCTCTTCCATCTTCCTCTTTTCTTTTCTTTTTCCTGTTAACAAATATGTTTGATGGATTTTATTTCAGTGTCCAAATCCAAACCAAAGAAGTAATTTTGTTTCGTTCTAAGGATACATACCCCAAAATATTTATCGATAACTTATGTTGTCAAACTGTAAATTTGATTTAATTATCTACTATTCGTTCGTAGTCTATCAGCTTCATATGCAAATTTAAGAGAATGATAATATCACTCTCTGCAAAGATGAGAGACAAGTAACAATATCTTTTCCATTTCTTTGGGCAGAATATTAAACAATTAAAGTATTGTTTAGGTTTGTAGTTTACATATCTAGTTATAAAATAGAGAAAACTAATTAAAAATGTTTGAAAACTTTGAGTTTTAACGAAAATGACAAAATAAAGGGTAAAGTAAATAGTGACATTTTAGTGTAAAAATATGATTTTTCCGTTAAAGTAAACAATACCGGAAGCTTTTCGTTAAAGTAAATAGTACCAGAAACTTTTCGTTAAAGTTCCCCATAAAATATGCGGTTGTGTTTATTTTCAAACTTGAACTAGGCAGTTGACCTGACAGCCTTAAGTAATGCAGATATTTAGGCAAAAGAGCATAGCCAACCCATGCTTTAGAGCATCTATAGTATTGGGTGTAAATGGAGATCTACCACGATTTAATTACTTTTTTTAGTGACGAATCTCCATTTAACTAAGCGAACCGTAAATTCCTTTACATCTCGTTTTTTCAATACAGTAATGTAAAAGAAGAGCTAAAACTAGCTTTAGCTTCTCCCATTAAAAATGCTCTTAAAACATCTTAAAACGACACCGATAAAAATGTCCATTGCAGATATGTTGGTTACATAATTAAAGAAGATGAATAAGATGGGTATGAATGTCTTGAGATCTGAATGCATGTGTTCAAATGGCATTAAGGATGGATGTTGACAAGTTTTATAGTGGACTTTGCAATGCTAATTTTAATTTTCATGTGAAGATTTTCAGTGTACCATCCATGCTTTCTTCTGAAGCAAAGATATGGAAAATACTTAATTAGGTGGGGGCGTATGGTTAATGTTGTAGGGATCCTTGGCTTTCAAGGTGACCAAATATAATGTGCACTAATTATGAGGGAAAAAAAGCAAAGTAGCTAGAAAATTAAGAGGGAGGGTAGTGATCACACTCTCGGTTTTGTTCTTCTGCACTATTTCTCTTGTTTTTGGCGACTGATTTTCTTTTGATTTATTTAATTGTAAGACTAGAAAATAAAAGAAGAATGCAGAAATCTATAGGAAAGTGCGGAAATCATTTCTAGATTGAAAAAAGGAGTGAGAATGGTCATTGTTTCAGTTTATTGACCTCATCATGCTCGAGATCAAATCTTTAGCACCTAATTGTTGTTTGACACATATTAAATTTATAATAATAAAATTAAGAAAAGTTAAGTATATAAATATGTGTTAGTTATTAGTTAAGGTCACAGAAAGACCACATTCATTTTGAATGCAGAAGATTTGATCTTATCATACTCCCTGGCTCTGCAACGAAGCAATTCCTTCTATTAAATTCCTGGTGGTTGAACGGTTAATAGCCAATCCACCCAACTCATCATACTTGTTGAAAGATATCCACACACATTTTATAGAATATATTGATATATATTAGCATAAAGTTTTGTTGCAGGCCCTGTCATGGCACTTCATAGATTATGCTAAATGAACCAATGTTTGAGAAAACAATTTTTTTTTTTTGAAAAAGGATCAAAAGTAAATTAGTGAGAGACAATGTGGAGAAGGTAAAGAAGTAAATGAACATTCTTTATCTAAATCATAATTTAAGTAATTAGTTAAGTACATACTTTAGGTGGTCGGTTTTAATGATTTGAATTTTGAATTGGGAGAAGGACTGATCACCAGCTCCACAATAAGTGCTAATTTGCTTTGATTCAAAGTTTTGTTTTATAATTTGTAGTTAGGTGGTTATGTCTCTCCTTTTTCTCTCCTTTTTCTATGTTTTTCTGTTTGTTGTGATTCCTGCCTTCAAGTCAAGAAAATAAAAAACAAACCGAGGCTCCATTTGAATCGAAATAAGGAGCAAACGGTTTTTTCAAAGTCGTTTTCAGTTTATTTGTTTTGAGTCGGAATAAGCTGCAATATTTGTACGCACGAACTTCTCTTCTTGTGAGATATTGTAGTTTTGATTTTGTTAATTAAAAACTTAGGACTTCGGTCGTAGAAGTAAGACCATCTCCAACCGAATAGTCCAGAGGGCTAGAGTCTGAAAATAGCCTTAAAACCGTCTCCAACTGAGGGTCAGGCCAAAGGGCTCGTAGGCCTCACTGGACAAAAAAGGGCCAAAGGGCCAACTGGCCAGCCCAAATGAGCCAGCCAACCAACCCTGGGCCGGGCTGAAAATTTTGAATCTCAATAGCTAGTTGACGTGAGCTAGCCGTTATTTTTGAATTTTTTTATGGTCAAAAATTTAAAAAGAATATTTAATTAAGACCAGAAATGTGATTAGTTCTATGTAGGGATGTTGCTTTTATAAGCATGTTTGATTGCTCAAACCTCTCCCACAGCTGATGTGGGACAAATATAATGGGTGCCACACATGCAAGCTTTTGCTTGCTCAATTCTCCCGATGTGGAACAAATATAATGCGTGCCCCAAATATAAGTTTCTTATTAGAGATGATAAATGTGCATTTAATTTAAGTTATTATATTTTTTAAATTTAAATAATATGTTTGGCCCTGTGGCCATTTGGCTCTCAGTTGGAGATGGTAAGAAATATGACCCTACACTGTTAATTAAAATATTAATTTCTTGGAGGACCAGAGGGCTAAAACGAGCTTTCTAGCCAGCTTTCGGTTAGAGATGGCCTAAATGCTCTTAAACATTAGCACTACAAGCCTTTTGCATCATCGATGAATAAAATTTTCATTTTGATAAAAAAAATTATGATACATTCAAGCATGCTTATTGGTATCAAATGTCGATTTTGTATAATGGTATAAAAATTTTACTTCGCTAAATATTTTGAGTTTAAATCTTATCGACATTTGTTCTTAATCAAACACAAGATTGAAAAAAAAAAAACCCTTGCCTATCAAGACAAATGTAGTGACAAGGTAGCTATCAATTGTTTGGGTGACCAAACCCTTAGGCTCAGTCCCTATCAATTTAAGTGAAGGAAGATGTTGCTCTTATTTAAAAAAAAAAAATTTTAAAAAAATAAAAGAAAGAAGAAGGAGGAAGATTCTTCACTAAATGTTATTTAATAAATAGTAAACTTTGTGGAAAAATCCCATTGATCTGATTATTTAATTAAGCTTAATACACTTACAATGCAAATCAATACAAATTTGAGTAGCACATGGGACCCACTCCATGAGTGCATGTGCATGTATAACCCGCCTTCCTGCTGCTCATAGTCTCCAATCAACATCTTTACATCTGGCTCCTTATCAAGATACCTTGGTCCCTTCCACCTTTAATTAAGACCCTAATCAATTGCTAATTACATACGATTCGTTTAGTCCTAGAAAATTACATACGATTAATTTGTAATTTGCAAGCATGTAAAAACCTAGAGCAACGTCGACCTACGTGCTTGTGCTTGGAATTGTGATCCTTAATGACATTTACATTATGATATTTCAATGCAAACGTCGGTTAAATCAATTGTCAGGACAACTTGAACGTCTATTTACATACAAGTTTGAATCTCTTTCAGTAACTTAAAATAGTTTAGAATATGATGGATTCTACCACCTCTTTGTCATCTTTCTTAAAATTCTTAATCAAATAGATAAACGTATTACGGAAGCATGTACAATTTTTCAATCTTTCTCAAAGTTTTCAAGGCAATCACAAAGTGCAGCAGCAACAACAACAACAACAACAACAAAGCCTTTTCCCACTAAGTGGGGTCGGCTATATGAATCCTAGAACGCCATTGCGCTTGGTTTTGTGTCATGTCCTCCGTTAGATTCAAGTATTCTAAGTCTTTTCTTAGGGTCTCTTCCAAAGTTTTCTTAGGTCTTCCTCTACCCCTTCGGCCCTGAACCTCTATCCCGTAGTCACATCTTCGAACCAGAGCGTCAGTAGGCCTTCTTTGCACATGTCCAACCCCATTTTGTGTACGTGTTGATGCTTCACCGCCTAACATTCTGTGTCATACAGCATCGCCAGCCTTATTGCCGTCCTATAAAATTTTCCCTTGAGCTTCAGTGGCCTACGACGGTCACACAACGGATGCACTCTTCCACTTCATCCATCCAGCTTGTATTCTATGGTTGAGATCTCCATCTAATTCTCCGTTCTTTTGCAAGATAGATCATAGGTAGCGAAAACGGTCGCTCTTTAGTATTTCCTGATCTCCGATCCTCACCCCTAACTCATTTTGGCCTCCATTTGCATTGAACTTGCACTCCATATATTTTGTCTTTGATCGGCTTAGGCGAAGACCTTTAGATTCCAACACTTCTCTCCAAAGGTTAAGCTTCGCATTTACCTATCCTGAGTTTCATCTATCAACACTATATCGTTTGCGAAAAGCATACACCAAGGAATATCATCTTGAATATGTCATGTTAACTCATCCATTACCAACGCAAAAAGGTAAGGACTTAAGGATTGTTGATGCACAAAATCAGTGAGGACTTTGGTACAACATAAAGTATTAAGTTTGTGATCTTCGCTAGATTGCTCTGGTCATTAGTGTAGATAAGTATGTAAATGGATAGAGACAGAAAAGCAACCACAAGATGTACGTGGTTCACCCAGATTGGCTACGTCCACGGAGTAGAGGAGTTCTCATTAATTGTGAAGGGTTTACACAAGTACATAGGTTCAAGCTCTCATTTAGTGAGTACAAGTGAATGATTTAGTACAAATGACATTAGGAAATATTGTGGGAGAATGATCTCGTAATCACGAAACTTCTAAGTACCGAAGTGTGGTATCGTCTTCACTTGCCTTATCTGTCTCATAGGTAGATGTGGCATCTTCTTTGGAAGTACTCTTCCTCCATCCAGGGGTGGTATCTTTAACTGGTGGAGATGCACAAGGTAATGTATCAATTTCACTTGAAGCTTACTTGTAGTTTCAGGCTTGGTCAAGCGCGATACAAACCATGTAGTAGGAGTCCCCCAAGTCGCCGAGCTAGGGGATCTGCTGAAAGAGGTGACAGACAAGGTAATCAATTAGAGCTCCAAGCAATCAGTCCCAGATCAGAAGTTTGATTTCGAGTTCCGGCTGATTGTTCTCATTCTCCCTATCTTGCAGGCAGCATGAAGGATAAAGAGAAGAAAAAATGAGAATATATGATATGAGATACTTTTGCTTTTGAAGAAGTAACTTTCCACATGCTTATTCTTGAACTGGGCTGGAGGGTTTTCTGGTTTCCTCCAGAGTATAAGGCCGATTGAAGAATTTAAGGGTCAAAACAAGTCCATCAAATCTAGAGTACGTTCGACCCTGCTGATATGGGATACTTTTTCTATTGACAAAGTAGTGGATGTATCGGCATGTGTTCTGTTACGCTTGTCTCCACATGCTTCCTTGTATCCTTCTCACCTTCCCTATCTATTCCTCAGGCAGATGTGGCATCTTCTCTGGAAGCATAAGATGTTGAAGATGAGTACTCGAGAGCAATGCCAGGTAAGTAATCAGGTAAGGGGTTCCAGGTAGTCAGTTCCTGACTGGAAGCTTGATTCCAAGTGCTGACTGATTGCTTTCTTTCTCCTTGTCTTGCAGGTAAGAACAAGGGCAAAAGAAAAGACAGGGAAAAAGCATGATATGGGATACTCTTGCTTTTGACCCTGATGATATGAGATACACTTGCTTTGGTGTGGCTCGTTTGCATATGAGATACACTTGCTTTGGATAAAGCTTGTCTGTAATCTTCACACGCTGCGGTGGTGGCCAGGAACCTTCTCACTCCCAAAGATAACAGACTACTTTCCAAACGATCTGATGAGTTGGCTGTTAAGGATTCTCTGGCTCTGAGTGTTCAGTGTGCAGGTTCTGTGTCTAATATGGCGCAACGCCTATTTGCTCGAACCCGCCAAGTTGAATCATTTTCGGCTGAAGTGATGAGTCTCAAACAGGAGATTAGAGGGGTCAAGCATGCGAATAAACAGTTGCACCGGCTCGCACATGACTATGCTACAAACATGAAGAGGAAGCTTGACCAGATGAAGGAATCTGATGGTCAGGTTTTATTTAATCATCAGCGGTTTGTGGGTTTGTTCCAAAGACATTTATTGCCTTCGTCTTCTGGGGCTGTACCGCGTAATGAAGCTCCAAATGATCAACCTCCGATGCCTCCTCCTTCTAGGGTTCTGTCCAGTACTGAGGCTCCGAATGATTCCCCTCCGGTGCCTTCTCTTTCTGGGGCTCTACCGACTGCTGAGACTTCTCCTAAGCAACCTTTGCGAAGGCTCCCTCTTGTTTGTTTATTTTGACTCATGTATATGTACATATTTGTAACTTATCGGAGATATCAATAAATAAGCTTTGCTTCATTTCAACGTATGGTGTTAAATACACCAAAACCTTCGTCACTGAGTGGGGTCGGCTATATGAATCTTAGAACGCCATTGTGCTCGGTCCTGTGTCATGTTCTCCGTTAGATCCAAGTACTCTAAATCTTTTCTTAGAGTCTCTTCCAAAGTTGAAAAATAGAAGAAAACTTGAAAGCAGCAAATTCTTTGACCACTTCTACCTATAAATTAAGACAAAAATTGTTCCTCATTGGCAAAATAAATAAATAAATAGAACAATTCTCCAATTATTGTTTACACTAATAAACAATTATACCATAAAATTTATACAATGATGAGGCATTCTACCATTGGCAAGTAAAGAGCATTGGGTGCATTGGTTCAACGGTATATATGTATGTATATATATATAAACACATATACATATATAATTATATATAAAGCCTATGCTGTCTATGACAAACCTTAGCGCCTTTTTTAGCCCCTCCACGGACAATAGCTTCAATGGCTGCTTAGTCTTGCCTGAGTTTGTTATGTTAGAGGATCAACCAAATAAATTCCTTCTGAATTCGAGGGACTCCTTAATGCTGTTCTCAAGTTCCTGGTAGTATTAGAATGTATATAAGCAAACAATTTATAGGACCAATTTGAAGAAACTAAAACATATTATACAGAATGGGTTCATAGCAAAACACAAATGTGAACTGTGAAGTCTAGATTAAAGAGAATTAGATATTCTGAAACCTACCCCCCGTTGAGCTCAGTTCGCATTGAGGAATATTTCTGCGATTCTTTCTGAGAAATTAAGGAAACAATAAATATCAATTAGCAAGTTTTCCTTGAAAATGGATCAGATCAGGCAAACAAATATTAAGGCATAAAATTGCTTACCGATTTGTGAAATTTACAATACATCCAACGACGTCTGAGATAAAAAGAGGAATCAATATTAAAAACATCAAGAAATAATGGAACATAAACTACTGGAGTTTAGATACAAATTGGGCATCTCAAAACTCAATTGGTTGGAAAAAACATAGAGGCATGGAGAGTGTTTGAAGTCACTGTAGAATTGCTCGTGGTTAAGAAAAATATAACATTTTTACATGGTTACATATCTGATTTCTGGTGTGTGTGTCTATATATATAACATTTATCTGATGCAACTTATTATGCATTTATCATCTACGATGAAGTTCTATACGTCAGCATTTACGTGCCCTTGCTCAAGATTCAAGATGATTTATATAGCTCATTAATTACTCATTGGCAGTAATTACTCATTATAACCATCTGTGATCGAATAAAGATGATCAAAGAACAGCATGTAATGTACTTGGTTATGACTACAGTACACGCCATTCCATCCTTTCTTTTCCCTTTGCAAACTCCATAATCGACTGAAGGGCCTATCTACATTTGGTTAGCTGAATACTGTTGGAAGGTTACACCAAATTTAAGTTACCAAGAAAGAGTCATAAATCAGGGTTAAGAAAGATAGAAGTTCTAGAGTTGTGACGTTTGGAATTTCTAGAGTTAGTCATGATTTCTCTAGATGTTTCAATTATTAAAAAGCTTATAATTAGCTAAATAAATGATGATGTATTGTAGTGGTTATAAAAGTCATGTAATGTTACAAGTTTGATGTGTGATAGAAATCAGAAGAGTCTTTTCAAGTTTTAAAACCTCTCCCCTCTTCTAAAATATTGGCTTGAGCCATCTTTCATAGAAACCTATTGAAGCGTTTCTCTGTTGCTCTTCCTCCTAAAAATTGGTACCAGAGCCTTGTTGAAGTTTTTGTCAATATGGTGATTGCAAATGCAAATGGTCACAACTTGGTTTCACTAATTCCTCGATTTGGTGGTGATAATTACGACTATTGAAGCAATAATATGAAGGTGTTGTTGAAGGCTTTGGAGCTATGAAATATTGTTGAAGCAGACTATGAAGAGACGGACAACGAAGCTATGTTAACTCAAGCGCAGATGAATAGTTTAAGGGAGAACCGAAAGAAGGATAGCAAGACACTTTTCCACATCTATCAAACCATTGAGATGCTAGCATATGAAAGAGTTGCGAAAGCTGAAAATACAAAGTAAGCATGGGATATGATCGAAAATGCATACAAGGGTAAGGAGAAGGTAAAGAAGGTTTGTCTGCAATCTTTAAGGAAAGAATTTGAAAAGTTGGAGATGAAAGAAGATGAGACAATCAAAGACTATTTTATCAGAGTTACCTCTGTTGTTAATCAAATGGCTTCAAATGGGGAGATTCTTGAAGATGTAAGAATTGTTGAAAAAAATTCTCCCCAGCTTACCGGTGAAATTCGATTATGTTGTGATTGCAATCGAAGAGTCAAATGATATTTCAACTTTTTCTATGGAATAAGGATAATTGGAGGCACATGAAATCAAAATTAATTTGAGGAATCCTCCCGCTACTCAACCTGATCAAGCACTCAAGTCTTAAGTTACAACTATGGGAGGCAATGGCAATCAAGCTTTGGATGTGGAAGAGGCGGACGAGGTAGAGGAAGAAATTTGAATGGCAGAGGCACTAATTCCTATGGCAATGAACGAGGCTCATCAAGCAATTCCAATAATGAAGGTGAAAGAAATTTCAATTCGTACGGAGGAAGAGGATGTGTTTTTCGAAGAGGAAGAGGACATGGCACTTCGAAATGCTACTATTGCAACAAACCTGGGCACAAGATAAGAGAATGTCAATTCAAAAAGGCTGATGATGAAAAACAATATGGAGCAAGTTGTATGCATCAAACCAATTCTAGAGATGGTGATTATAAAGAAATTTTATTGCTTGCATGTCATGGAGATCAAATGAACAATGTGTGGTATTTGGATAGCAGAGTTAGCAAACATATGACAGGTAACAAAAACCTTTTATTTGCCCTCTGTAAGTTCAATCATGGTCAAGTAAGAATTGGAGATGATAAAGCGTATAAAATTGAGGGAATTGGTGAGGTATCTTTCAAACCAAAATCTGGAACAATTGAGAAGGTTTCTGAAGTATATTATGTTTCTGGTTTGAAGAGTAATTTATTGAGTATGGGTCATCTGTTGAGGAAGGGTTATGATATTCGCCTCCATGGTGATTTTTGTGTTATTAAAAGGAAGGATAAATTTGTTGCCAAGGTTGGACTTGCCGCAAATAACTTGTTTCCTTTGAAGCTCCAGACAACAAAACTATCTTGCTTAGTTCTAAAAAAGAAGTCTCTAAGTTATGGCATGACAAATATGGCCATTTAAATTATGGAAGTTTGAAGTTGCTGTAAAACAAAACAATGGTACATGGGCTGCCTCAATTTGATCTGGTAGATGGCGTTTGTAAAGATTGTCAATTTGGTAAGCAACATAGAAGTTCATTTCCTTTAGAGTCCTTTTGGCGAGTAAAGAAGCTGTTGGAGCTTATTCATTCTGACTTGTGTGGTCCAATGCAGTAACATCTTTTGGAAGTAGTCTATATTTCATTACATTTATTGATGAGTTCTCATGAAAAGTTTGGGTTTACTTCCTCAAAGAAAAATATGAAGCATTTCAAGCCCTTAAAGATTTCAAGGCCGAAGTTGAAAAGTTTGTTAGTCTTCCAATCAAAAGTTCAAGGACAGGTTGTGGTGGAGAATATCTCTCCAATGAGTTTCAAAAATATTGCAGAGATCACAGATTAAAGCACCAGTTGACAGCCCGATATAAACCTCAACAAAATGGTGTGAGCGAAAGAAAGAACCGGACAATCATGGAGATAGTGAGATGCATGCTCAAGAAGAAAAAATTGCAACAAGAACTTAGGGCAAAAGTTGTTTCTTGTGTTGCATATTTAATCAATAGATGACCAACAAAGAGTTTGAAGGATTGCACACCTCATGAAGCATGGTATTGAGTGAAATCGAGAGTGCAACGTTTGAAGATTTTTGGTTGTGCTGCCTATTCCCATGTTCCAAAGGAGTTGAGAAACAAGCTCGACCATAAGGCAGAAAAGTGCATTTTCATTGGATATAATGAAAGGAGCAAGGCCTACAAGCTGTACAATCCGAAGACCAAAAAGTTCTTGATCAGCTGTGATGTCCACTTTGATGAAAATGCTTTCTTTGAAGAAGAAAATGGTACATCAAAATTGTCTATTATGCAAGAAGATGATACTTATCAATCAGAAATTGCTCCTCAATCTCTAAGAGCTACATCAAGTGATGACAACTCGCCTCCAAGAAAGTTAAGAAGTATACAAGATCTTTATGACTTTTCAAAGCAAGTAGATTTGAAGGATAATACTATATTCTTTTCCTTCTTTGCTGGAGAGGATCCAGTTTCATTTAATGAAGCATGTGAAGAGGAAAAAAGGAAGTAAGTTATGGATGAAGAAATAAAGGCTATTGAGAAGAATAGGACTTGGGAGCTCACAAATCTACCAGCACACAAGAATCCTATTGGTGTGAAATGGGTATATAAGACAAAGAAAAATGCAGATGGGTCCATTAACAAGTACAAGGCGAGACTCATTGCAAAGGTTTATACGCAAAAGGAAGGTGAAGACTATACTGAAGTTTTTGCTCCTATTTCCGACTTGACACTATTTGACTGATCATCTATCTTGTTGCACAAAACAATTGGGAAAATTTTCAAATGGGTGTAAAGTCTGTGTTCTTGGATGGTGTCCTTCAAGAAAAAGTTTATTTGGAGCAGCCACTTGAATATGTGAACAAAGGAGAGGAAAACAAAGTTTACAAGCTTAAGAAGGCGTTATATGGGCTCAAGCAATCACCACGTGCATGGTACAACCGTATTAATTCATACTTCAAGAAACATGGTTTTCAGAAGTGCTCGTATGAACATACCCTCTATGTCAAAAGCACCTTACAAGGAAGTTTCATGGTCGTAAGTCTTTATGTGGATGATCTTATCTTTATCGGAAATGATTTAGAGCTATTGAATGGTTTTAAGCTCTCTATGATGAAAGAATTTGAGATGACAGATTTGGGCAAGCTACATCACTTTATTGAAGTTTCTCAATCTAAGAAAGGCATTTTCATTTCTCAAGAGAGTTATGCAAAAGAAGTTTTGAAGAAATTAGGGAAGGAGAACACAAACCCAATAGTGACACCATGCATTACAGGCCTAAAGCTAAGCAAAGATGTTGAAGGAAGACTTGTCGATTCCACCAAGTTTCACAGTTTGGTGGGTAATTTGATGTACTTAACGGCCATGAGACCAGACATTATGTAAGCAGTAAGTTTGGTGAGTAGGTTTATGGAAAAGCCACATTCAAATCATTGGGAAGCTGCAAAAAGAATTCTGCGATACATCAAAGGAACTGTCGATTATGACTTTTTTTATGAAGCAAATGTTCCAGTGAAACTTATTGGCTATACTGACAGTGATTTAGCTGGAAGTATTGATGATTGCAAAAGCACTTTAGGTTATGTTTTTAGTCTGGGAAGTGGCGTGATTTCATGGAGTCCGAGGAAGCAATCGATTGTTGCCCTCTCTACAACAGAAGTGGAGTACATAGCTGCCTCTCTTGATGTCACACAGTTTGGCTACTTGGCCTTTTGGAGAGTCTGTTGCATAAACAAAAAGGTCCAACCACTTTGTTTTGTGACGATAGCTCAACAATTTCAATATCAAAAGATCATGTTCTACATGGGAGAACAAAGCACCTCTGCATCTGCTTTCATTTCATAAGGGAGCTTGTTAGTGAGGGAGTTATACAGCTAAAGTATTGCAAAACAGATGAACATATGACAAATGTGTTCACAAAGCCGCTTGGTGAACAAGTGTTCAAGTGAGATGTTGCAAGACTAGGAATCAAAAGAAAATTTGGTTTAAGGGAGGCAATGTTGGGAGGTTAAACCAAATTTAAGTTACCAAGAAAGAGTCATAAATCAGGGTTAAGAAAGATAGAAGTTCTAGAGTTGTGATGTTTGGAATTTCTAGAGTTAATCATGATTTCTCTAGATGTTTCAATTAGTAAGAAGCTTATAATTAGCTAAATAAATGATGATGTATTGTAGTGGTTATAAGAGCCAAGTAGTGTTACGAGTTTGATGTGTGAAAGAAATCAGAAGAGTCGTTTCAAGTTTAAAAACCTCTTCCCTCTCCTAAAATATTGGCTTGAGCCTTCTTCCATAGAAACCTATTAAAGCGTTTCTCTATCGCTCTTCCTCCTACAAATACACGCCCAACGAAAAACGTCCACCCTGCATTAACACATAAAAACAGTCATGACGATATAAGAAGGAAATGGTCATAAATAAAAGAGCAGCCTGACAATTTAATACCAGCGCATCCTTGCGTATGGTGCAATTAAACAGCGCAAAAACCATTCCAGACTGCTCTTTGCAGTAAGACTCATAAGCATCACCAAACAAGAAAACCGAAATGGTATCTTCATCCAGACACCCGAGTTTCCATATACAAACCACTTCCCGTTTAAACTAGTTATTGGAATCCCCTTCTCGGTCAACACTCCCGCAGTTGCCCAGCATCCTGTAAGTGTATCTCCACGCAGCAAATTCCAAGAAAAATTGTATGTAAAGTATCACAACCCAATTCAACCATCATGGGAATACAACTTTAAAAGCAAATCCATTTGGTTTCTAAAAGAAAGGATGCATTTCCAGCTATCCAATCACACAATGCCTAAACAATGATAGTGCAAAGCAAGAAAATTACTTCATGGTGGATAACCGAACAAAACGAATGTCTCAAAAGTGATCACTAAGCTCTAAGGGAGTTTAACCTATGAGTACAGAGATGTTCTAAAATGGAGCATAACCTATGAGTACAGAGATGTTCTAAACCACAGAACTCCGTTCTGGCTACATCTGCTCTTGTTCTAGTGTTCCACTTTTCTTTTTATGCTTGGTACGACATCCATCAAAAAGACCCTCTCATAAAACGAATGGTGCATGAGTTGTAGATCTGTGAATGGTTTTGGAAAGGAACCGAAATCTAGATATCAAACTGCCAAATAAATGGTGCATATTATTAACAATGTTAGATTATATACACAATCTTTTTTCAATCAATGTGATCCCAATTCAATCCTTTTAATTTTTTTTTTCTTTTGATCCCCTTACTTGTAAGCCAAGATACACACAATGGGTCATCCTAAATCCCAAACAAAACCTTTGACACGGAAAGGATGTAATTAAAATGGGAAAGAAAGAAAGCAAAAAAAATGGAAAGTGCCAAGTGGAAGCAATTTTATGTGGGATATGAAATTAGTCAAAAATATATAACCAAATAAATAGACAAATTTGCCATATAAACATGCAAATCAATACACAAACCTGGTCTACCCTTCAGTCTCGGATCAACTTTCACTTTCACATCCACAAATATTTCCCTCCTTGCCGTAGTCCACATTCAACCCCCAAATAATCGGATGTTCTCTCTTCTAACAATAGCATATAAGATGTTCAAACGCACTCATGAAAAAAATTGCTATAAATCCAAGTTTTCGATCAGTAGGTGTATATCAACCATCTATCTCCTTATATCTTTGTGTTTGATGGAATTTCTGAACCAGTGTTAATTGTCAAATTTCGAGTGTTGAAGTTGTAACAATGGTGGTGTCAAGGACTTTTCTGTGGATTTCTTTTGTTCTTTTGGTGGTCTCGGACAGTCTAGTTTATGCCAACGTTAAGAAGCCGGCTGCTGCTGCAGATGGGGTAGCATTGGGGGACTTGGTGGAAGGGGAAGATCCAGTTGTTGAAAAGAGAGACAAGAAGAAACTTGAAGTCGGGGAGGTGACATATGATGGCAGGTCCATCATGATCAACGGAAAACGCGAGATTTTCTTTTCTGGTTCAATTCATTATCCACGGAGCACAGTGGATGTAAGTTTTTTAAATTCTATCTTCTATATTTATTTTTGCACAAAGGAGATTAGTTAAATTGAAAGCACGGCGGATGTATGTTACCTTCGGTCGGGTGCAAGAGTGAATGCTCTGAAGAAATGGAGCTACTAGCTCCCGCGTTTATCTTGTAATTTATTTTGGTGTTTGGTGATGAAATTTGATTGTTAATATTTGTGCTCAATTGGGGTTTTTCAGATGTGGCCTGATCTTCTCAGGAAGGCAAAACAGGGAGGTTTGAATGTGATTCAAACTTATGTCTTTTGGAACCTTCATGAGCCTGTGAAAGGCAAGGTACTAGGAAAATTATACAGATTGTTGCATGAAGAATGTGATTAAATTGTGAAAAATTATGGCTTGCATTGAATCTTGTATTGATTTTGCAGTGGAATTTCGAGGGAAACGCCGATTTGGTGAAGTTCATCAGGCTGATTCAGGAGAACAATATGTATGTCACCCTCAGGGTAGGGCCATTCATCCAAGCCGAATGGAACCACGGGTAAATATATAATTTGATAATGTTGATGTTCATCTTAATTCCCTTCCTATGATGAATTATTTCTAACAAATTTCGATTTAGAGGGCTTCCATATTGGCTGAGGGAGGAACCGAACATAGTTTTCCGTTCGGATAATCCAACATACAAGGTACAGCACACCTCAATGTGAAAAACTAATATGATTTGAGGAGCCATAGTAACTGATATTATAAGACCTTAAATTCCTTTTGCAGCAACACATGGAGGCATTCGTGGCTAAGATAATGAAGATGATGAAAGATGAGAAGCTATTTGCTCCACAGGGAGGTCCAATCATCTTAGCTCAGGTTGGTACTTGGTTCCTCTCCGAAAATTGTTACTTCTGGGGAAGCATTATTCATCTGATCTGGCTAACTTATAATGTTTCATGACACAGGTTGAAAATGAGTACACTCATGTCCAGCGTGCATATAGAGAGTTGGGGGACAGTTATGTGCAGTGGGCAGCAAAAATGGCACTTGCGCAGAACGTCGGTGTGCCATGGATCATGTGCAAACAGAAGGATGCTCCTGATCCAGTCGTAAGTTTACGAACTTAATCTCTGTTGATTCTAAGATAAATTAAGCATTAAAATTTATCGGTAGAACAAAGTTTTATTGTTTTTGTGTGTGTTCAGATTAATACTTGCAATGGAAGGCACTGTGGAGACACTTTTCCAGGCCCTAATAAGCCTCACAAGCCTTCTCTATGGACTGAGAACTGGACTGCTCAGTAAGTAGATATATAGAATATCTAGTGAGTATATATAAAAAAAAGGTGGTTTTCTAACCACATTTCTTCTTTTTCATGATTACAGGTACAGAGTATTTGGTGATCCTCCTTCACAAAGATCGGCAGAAGACATTGCGTTTTCAGTTGCTCGATTTTTCTCCAAGGATGGAACCCTAACCAACTACTATATGGTAACCGGCCACCTTCAAATTCTTTATAAAATTATCACCAGCAGAATATATAAAGCAACCCTATTTGACACTTGCAGTACCATGGTGGAACAAACTTTGGAAGAACAAGTTCTATTTTCACAACAACTCGATACTATGATGAAGCACCTCTTGATGAATATGGTAAAAGATCGTGAATTTCTTTATATATGATGATAATTCAAGATGGTTTCTCATCATATACGCATTCAAATCGGGAATTATTTTATTTTCGATGCAGGTTTGCAAAGGGAGCCGAAATGGGGTCACCTCAAGGACTTGCACAAGGCTTTGAATCTATGCAAGAAGTCTTTGTTAGCAGGAGCTCCTGGAGTCCTCAAGTTGGGCAAAGAAACCGAGGCAAGTATCGTACATCCCCATAAATCGAAAATTATGCAGGAAGAGAAGGAAAAGAAAGTGTCACTAATAGGCTCCATTCTGCTTTGTAGGCTCGTTTCTATGAGAAGCCTGGAACAGACATATGTGTTGCTTTCCTGGCAAACAACCACTCAAAACTCGAAACAAGTGTCACTTGGCGTGGGCAGGATTATTTCCTGCCACCACATTCTATTAGCATCCTCCCAGACTGCAAGACCGTGGTCTTTAATTCTCAGCAGATTGTGTCACAGCATAATACGAGGAACTTTGTTCGATCAAAGGCTGCTAAAAAACTCAACTGGGAAATGTCTCCAGAACCAATTCCAACCGTTGTGCAGGTACCAGTGAATCAAAAGAAACCACAGGAACTTTACCACTTGCTCAAAGATGCCACAGACTATGGATGGTTTACCACTAGGTAAGTTCATGTATGCATATTTTAGGATGTAAAGAATTTGATATTACTGCTGACATGATATGTTTTATGACTGCAGCCTTGACCTAGGTCCATATGACTTGCCGATGAAGGATTCTATTCGCCCGGTTATCCGAATCCCAAGTCTTGGTCACGCAATGGGCGTATTCGTCAATGGTGAATATATCGGTAAGAGCACAGAAACAGTCCTGCAGACATACATACTAGTTTCCGTACTTTGTCAATGTCAGTGACAAGGCATCCCTTGTACTTTCTGTTGACATGATGACTAAGCGATTTGAAGATGTTTCCAGGAACCGAACACGGAAGCCACGCGGAGAAGGGATTTGTCTTCGAGAAACCTGTCACATTCAAGCAAGGGCTCAACTACATCTCATTGCTTTGCATGACAGTGGGACTCCCAGTAAGTCAGCTCATAACTTATTAGCACAGTTTGAGTAAGGTTTAGGATTTAAAACAGGTGCTAACTAATTTATTTTTCATCAATGAAGGATAGTGGAGCATACATGGAGCACAGATACGCCGGACCCCGAACCATAACAGTCCTGGGATTGAACACAGGAACAATTGATCTCTCACAAAATGGCTGGGGACATAGGGTGTGTACTCTTAAATTTCCGTTATAACTGGGAAATGATTTCCGCACTCCCATTTTCCTTAGGGAGGAGCGCAGGAGAAAACGTGAGTGCAAAATCATTTCCCTTGGAATATTGAAATGGAGATGATATCCAATTTTGTTGGCTCCCATTATTCAGGTTGGCTTGAATGGCGAAAACTTACAAGTGTTCACTGAGAAGGGAGCGCAGAAAGTCCAATGGACTAAAGCTGCAGGCAAAGGAAGGGCTCTCACATGGTACAAGGTAAAGTTTCTGAAGCCAACATTCTAAAGTCCGATGCATTTTACTGAATTGTACATTGCAGTACTTTATATCCAATGCTTTTGTTGCAGACATATTTTGATGCTCCTGAAGGGAAAGACCCCGTTGCTATCCGGATGACTGGAATGGGAAAGGGAATGGTTTGGGTGAATGGTTTAAGCATCGGGCGGCACTGGATGTCCTTCCTCTCTCCGCTTGGACAACCTACTCAAGCCGAGTAAGTGAAATCACACACGAAAAAAGCGTACAATGTAATAGTATGATGCAATATATCAATATAAATCTCCGCAAAAACAGAAAATTTAAGTTTCATTTGCAACCCTTTTGATCAGGTACCATTCCTAGATCTTTCATCAAGCCGGGCAAAAATTTCCTTGTTGTATTGGAGGAACAGGATGCTGACCCTAAAGACATTGAGATCCTAACGGTCAACAGAGACACAATCTGTTCCATGAGTTCACAGATGCATCCTCCACACGTTAATGCATTCGAAAGAAAGGGAGGCAAGTTCCAAATTGTCGCAGGCATCTCTGCCGCAACTGCTCAACTCAAGTGTCCAAACTACAAAAAGATTGTTGCTGTGGAGTTCGCAAGCTTCGGTACTCCTGAAGGCGTATGTGGAACTTACGCCATTGGCAGCTGTGATGCTCCGGGAACCAAAAAGATCGTTGAAGAGGTAAAAATTTCCCTGGTCATGGTGCAGGTTTCTCAACCAATCTGCTAAATTATGAATTCTGAAGTTCTAACCGATGTTTTTGTTTTGGCTTTTTTCAGAAGTGCTTAGGAAAGACTGCATGTACAGTCCCCAGTGACCCCGGGCTTTTCTTCAAAGTTGATCCTTGCCCAACTGTCAAGATCAAGAGACTTGCGATCCAAGTATTGTGTTCCCACTAAGGGGTCAGAGAGTTTTGATAGAAAAGTTTTCTGGGAGATGTTTGTGCTTAAATTTGTCCACATTTCACTTATTTGGGTCTAAAGCTAAATTATGGTATTGAGATATTTTGAGTTGCATCAGGTAGCACACGTTTTGGGCGGTGCCTTTATGCCAAACTCTATCATTTTATGTATACGTTTGCAATCCATTTCCAACAAGTGGCTTTTTAGTTCCTTATGTAAAAGGATGCAAAGGCAAAAAAAAAAGGACACTCAAATAACCAAACAAATCTCTCTCTAGAAAACCAATGTCGGAAACCTTTTATTTCAAAGCTTTATTCAATATTGCAAGCTCTTTCATTTCTTTCAATTAAAGTCAAAGCCCTCTTTCAATTCATCCTAGTTTTGTTGTCTTTACAAGTATTCCTCTTTCAACCTCTGTCTTGTAATAGCTGGTAGCATTTCAATACAAGATCTCTCTTCGCATCATTATTGTCATTTCAATATATACAGAATCTCTCTTCACTATTTATATATTGTGATAGAGATATCTACATAAGGAAAGTCCTTATCGTATGAGGCAAAGAAATAACCTAAGTTGAGCCTCTCACTCAACGACACAATCTTTCAGTTAGAAGTCAATTAAGCACAATCTCAATCACTCAAATCCCGTCTACTAGCGGTAACTAGTAGTGACACGCTCGCAATCTCTAAATTCATGCTCGTGTGAATTCCCAGCCTACCGGCAAGGCCAATGACGAATTTAGGGTGCGAACAGGAGAACTGAAGACCCTGCAGCTAGTTTGCGGTGGTTTGAGATGGCCAAGTAGAATCTGGGACTATTGAAGCTCAACATTATGTTCTTCTTAGTAAAATGCAAAGTTGCAGACAAGGAAGATACTTATACATGCTTCTTTGTGTCAAATGTATTATCACCAACAGAAAGAGAAAACCATTCAAACTTTTCAACAAATAAACACAATGACAAAGCTATTCACTGGACAAGCACGTACTTAGGACCCATTTGATAATCATTCACTTTTTAAGATTGCACTTTAAATTTTTTTCCGGGTAAAGATAGAAAGATAGTATGTGGAAGAAAATACGGATGAGGAGGGGTGAAGGAAGATGGAAACATGAGGGAGAATGTATGAAACTGAAAAAATTGTTTTTAGTTTTTAATTCAATGTATAATTTCGTTCAATATACATTTTTTTCTACATCTTCCATCATCTTTCCTTCACCCTTTATCCTTCATCCCTCATTGTTCCCTTAGCATCGGAAAATACTTAGTTGCTGACATGTTAGGAGAATTTCCTTTTTACATATAAATCATAGTTTGACATGTGATTCATGTATAAGAAATTTTTATTTTCATTGATTTTATGAACCACTTTAGTACGTGTCAGCTTGTAATTTGTATGTTAGAAGAAGTTGCCTTTTACGTCCAACTTAAAAACAAAGTTTAAAAACAAAAAAAAAAACAAAATGATTAAATATGGATGGGTCATCTCTCTTTCTTGCTTCAGTCAACAATAAACTATTGAAACAACTTATCCATTTTTATTTATAGGTCTTGCTTACTCTCAACTTGGACAGGATCATGGAACAAGGAACATGAAGAGGATCCAAATCTTGTACAAAAACATTTGATGAGCAAAACCAATAACTTTTTTGAATCATAAGAAATCAAACTTGAGACATCTTCGAACAATGTGAAGAAAAATATTCTTAGACAAAAGGCTAGTTGGGTACAAAACTGACAACCAATTACGTATATGACTTGTTTTCTTTCTAATGTTGGGATTAAAAGTAAAATATATTTTGCCACGAAAGGGTAAACTAACTGAATCGAACCAGTTCATTTTGAGCTCGTTTGATCACTAAGGTTGCGAACCAATTTATTTTGAGCTCGTCTGGTAACTAGAATTGAATTAGATCTATTAATCCATTTACCTACACCTTCAACCTCCAACCTTCAACATTCCTGAAGTTTATAAGAAGTGCATTCCAATCCAATCCAATCCTAACATCAAACAAGCCCTTAGTCATCACTTTGACATGGGCAGTAAGAGAAAGTTGGCCTTACACATTACCCCAAAGGAATAATATGTAAACGTTGATTCGACGAACCAAACAAGTCACCAGTGGCACCAGTTAGTTTCGGTTTCGATACACCAGCCACTCGATGGTGCGCGAAACGGAAAACACATATTTCACAACATGCAACGTTACATTACTTGAAGGACTGATGAATAATGGACACGAACTGGAACAAATTTATTTGTAATCAGAATCGGAATGAAATTAGAAGGCATATAAATGTTTCAGATGTTTTGTTTCCCTTTCATACATTTTACCACCGTACATGTATATTCTACCACCCTATATGAATGGAAAACAAAAAGGTGAACAAAAATTTCTTTCACAAGATTTTCTATTCATTTACAGTCCTTGGCGGCTCAGACGGCCCTCTCGGAAGGAAAACTTGCTACAGTTTAAAATTGCGTCGATCCAACCTGAAATGAACATGAGCAACTTCTGAACCAAACCAAGTAAATTCAGAAAAAAAAAAAAAAAAAAAAAAAAAAAAAAAGCACAAGCATAATGAATAATAATGCGTGAAGAATCAAAATATTTGCGACTTTGGAACCAGGCCAGTGGAGAACGAATGTGAAAATGTAAAGAAACTGACCTCGACAATGTTGATAAGTTTAGAACCGCACCAATGACGAGCCGTTATTTGAGTGGATAAGTAGAAATGCCACTTCCAACATCAAAGTCATCCAAGGCTAAGGCTAATTAATTGCAGGCGAAAGACAGAACAGTCCTAATTGTTTTAATGTAACTAATATACACGGATTGATACGGCTAATCCCAAAATCTCATGACAAATCAAAGGATCCTTGGCCTTCACTGATTGCATACAATAGTTTCTTGAACATAATTTCCTGTTTGAAGCATCGGACACAGCCCACAATATCAGTAATAATGCCAGTATGACGGAAATTATATGTTGCAATCAAGAATTTCAAGCACTCCTGCATTAATAAACCGAATATGGTAATACCTTGGTTGAATATGGAGGAAGCTTCAGGTAATTAGCGCATGTCATGACACTGGGCAGGTCATCATCTGCCAACTCTGAAACCCCGGTCCCGTTGATTGCAGCATTATTTGCGGTCGAAGAATGCTGCACCAGAAATTGAATCATTAGCACAATCCCAGTTATGCATGACAATTCTAAACACATGTTATCATTCAATGACTCCCATTGATGCCCAAAAATAGATCCTCAACTTTATAGGACATATCACTCGAAACACCCATCTTTTATACTGCATTCGTACAAGGAACAAATTGCAACAGACCACCTGCATGTATATCAATTGTACCATACCTTTCTCACAATGGTCAGTTTTGGATTCAGCACCGCCAAACCACCAGGTGGAAGCCGAGGTGCACCAGTAACAAACTGGCAGAAAGCGCGCTGCTGCTCTGGGGTGAACTCACCCATAATCTCGAGCAACTACAAATTTATAAACAAGACCTATATAAGACCAAAACAGAACCATTCATCCCCAAAGCCCTCCCATCAATATAGAACAAGAACTTACATTAAGTATTGCAGGGCTCTTGGCATTGTATCCATGATCAAACTTTATATGATCAGCAAGGGTATCTGCCTGCAAAATCAGAAGAAAAAAAAAATGAAATAAGTTAGCAATGTTCCAATTAAAACAGTGATTTAGATAAGGGATAAGTAGACAAATTACCTCCCACAACTCTCTACGGCCACAAAGCAGGTAGTCCAACTCATGTGGAGTAAATATTTGTAAAGATGATAAGTCAAAGACCTGATAGTCACGTAGTAAACAAGAAAGGAATTAGTTATTATTCTCACAAAGTGCACAGAAAAACATACAATTAACTATCACAATCGAAGAACTACCAGGTTTTAAGCTCGAGAGAGGTGCTTATAAAATAATTACCAAAAATAAAACTACAGTGAGTACCAGACCAAACAGTTATTAAACTACAGTGATAGGCCTGGTCCAGCAACCTACTCAACGCTGGGTGAGGTTATTCACTGTTACAGAAGAGTACCCTTCTTAAAATAAATTTCAAATGCCTTCTCCCCTCCACCACCATCCCAACGTTTGAGTTCACTTGCAGTTGAAATATATAATAAAATAATGCAAATTATTTATAATTGCAGCAGGACATTGAATTAAACAATGAAATTTAAAAGCATCTTGGCACAAAAAATGCAACATAAAAAATGCAATGAGTTTATTACGAACTCAATAATAATCAGAAAAAAGAAAAAACTGAACCTGATTAAACCCGGCTCTAAATGCTTCAATTTGCCTCATTATCCCAGTCTTCACTGTCGCGTCAACAACAAAAGATATAACTCCTCCAAGTTATTGATATCAACCTGGAAGTTAAAAGTATGTTAAAAATGTCATTACAAGCACAACAGCAACCAGAAAAAGTAAATGAAGGCTCAAAAATATAAATAAACCAAGATAATTTTGTTTACATTTTCATCTCCCGGTTTCAACACATAATCTGGATAGCCAGGAAGTGTAAAATCTAAACAGAGGTCATCCACTGATGCTCCACGGAAACGCAATTCAGCAATGGCATCACAATTATCACCATTTGATTCTAAATACAGTTTCCGGCAGACAAGGTTATGTAATTCCTGCAGAGTCTTTCCAAGCTCAGCATCAAAGGAAAGAACATCATGTAAATCAAGCTCCTGAAGGATTGGGAAGAAAGGAAAGAAAATAGGTTTAATTTCTACATCAAAACCGTTTTGATAAAAATATAAATCTAAATCACACTTCAAAATAAAAAAGGTTACATTCTTCCACTAGCTTACTTGACCAAGCAAAAGCTTATAAAATGCTGTTGATAGTGGCAAGTCCAATAGCCGCCCATCTTGAAGAGCCTTAGCCATCACACGCCCAACCAACCTAAAGTATTCTATGACTTTTGAAAATTGGCTACCATCAGAAGCAACAGCATTTGGAGGCCAGGGACGTGGGAACAACCCAAGAGGAGCTTGGACAATGTCACCATTGCTTTTTCCATCTTTATGTTCATCTCCATCAATATCCATTGATGTTTTCTCCATGGAAGAATTCGATCTCCACATGCCCAGTCTAACTCTTTGTAGGTCATGACTTAAAAGTGTGTAAAACTCAAGTGTAGGACCCAAGCCAGTGCCCACTTCACCGAAATATTCTACTTCAAGCACAGATTTTTGGCTGGAATACATCTCCATTACTTTTGCAGCAGAATCCAAAATCCGGTTTCGGGACACACGAACTTTCTGTCGTTGCAATCTCCCAACTCTCACCTCTCGTTCATTTGCACCATGACCATCAGCACCCTGCTGCTGCTGAAGACGGTGCAAAGCGCGGGACAATCCAAAAGCCGTTGAATAGAAATACTGTCTCCGAGTCTCAAAAGGAAACAAAAATGGACATGCTTTTGTCAACTGGTAACACCAAGAAGGAAGACTCCCACTGCACAACGCAAGGGCATCTTGAATTTGTCGGGCTAATTTGGGAGTGAGTTTGCTGTTAACAAATTCTTCAGGAAAAACCTTAGCACCAGTTGTACTCAAGTCATCCATATTCAAAACTTTACCCTCAGCAAAACTGTCGGAAACTATCTGAGCTCTTAGGCGAGGTGCAAGCTGATTCAAGCCCTCTAGTACATGGAGTAGTGCCACAATATTGTAAGTAGGATTAGATTTTTCTAAATCACAAGGAAGCTCTCCCTGCAAAATGCTATCCAAAAGTGACATTTGAAGCAATTGGGAGTCGGAGTTGGAATTGGAAGCAGATCCAGATTTGCAAGATTTTGTTGAAGTCATAGAACTTGCACCTCCAACAGATGCCCTGTCAGCTTGATTGTCTGGCCTCTGGTATGTGATAGTGTAAATATCACTCCACAGCCTGCTACCATCACTGGATACGAAATCACTGCCAGCATACCTTTCATCATCATCCTCATCTTGCACAAGCTGTCTCTGAATAGCCTGATAGATAGTCAGATGCCTATTAAGCTGCTTCCCTCCAGAAGTAAAAATCAACTTAGGAGGATCACTAGAAATGCCAAAAATGGGATGTCCTTGTCGATCCCTGCCTCCCCTGATGCCCCTGCTGGCAGATCCAAGCCCAGCCATGGCGGCAGCAGCAAATGACATTGCACCCTTTGAACCATAAGAATTACTACTCCTATGTTCGGCATAATCTGAGCCTCTAACCGTAGCAGCTCTGCTACTAGAGCCAGGAGCTGGGATAGTGTGGGTGTCACTCGTGGCGGAAGCTACAGTAGCATCCTCAGTTGAGTCTCCCAATTTCACATCATGTACTTTATCCGGCATGCAAACAGGAAGAGAGTCATCTCTTAGAACCTACAAAAATAACAACAATAGCAAAAGAGTATAATACAAAGTAAGTATCCAATATCTCCTATCCTGGACAATAAAATTAAAGACTCAAATAACATACATCATGGTCATCATCTTCGTCATCTGAGATATCATCATCTTCAATGACCAATTCATCCATCTCAACGGGCGATATATCCAATTCCTCATCCTACAGAAAAAGATAATCAATCAATGACTGTTCAGACAGAAATATGTAAAAGGAATAAATGGGTGAACTATGCCAGCAATTACTTCCAAACCAAACGAAAAAAAAAAAAAAAAAAAAACACACTAGAAATAGGATATATCCCCAGTGTATTAACCAAAACTCGTATAAATGAGATATCTAAGGCATTAAGAGAAAAGTGCTAAAAGAGAGAAGGGGAGGCTATATTATAGGGACGCCAAAGTTAATGCACTGCCTTACCCCGCATACCATTCTAAATTCCCTTGCAAGGATTCGGTTTCACTAAATACCCAATAAACCCTTTGTTTGAATAAACTAGCGGAAAAAGAACAAGACCTTCCCATAATTCCATGACTGTTAGAATTTACATCTTTAATTTGATAATCAACACACTAAGGTTGGATGCAAACTGAATCCATATCAGAACCCCAATGCCATATCAGACCCATCAGATAAGCAAAGAAAGAGATTGCATTAGTTAAAAAGTACTACTATAAGTGTCCACCAGAGTGAACAAAAATAACCCAAAACTGTATAATTCAACACTTATCTCAATAATGATTATGGATGTCATTTCAGTATCAATAACAAACCTCAGAAGTAGTGTCCCCATTTGCAGGCTTCATTTGAACTTCTTTATCAAGAGCGGCTCGTCGACGAGCTGCATTTCTCGTTTGAGTTCCTCTTGCTTCCTCCTGAGAAGGCTTCAAAACAGCTTTCCCCTTCCCTTTTGATGAGCTTGTGTTCTTCTCTTGTGATGGTTCCCTCCTACCTGTATCTCCTATATTCACAGATGTTCTTGACCGCGTTGAATGGCGACGAGTGGAGGAAGCAGAATTTGAAGTAGGCAGAGATGAAGCACCAGCACCTGTAGGTGTAGCTCCAGATTCCGAGTTTCCAGCAGATGCAGCAGGCTTCTGACCAGATTCACCTCGCTGAACTCGAGGCCAAAGAAACTCTTCTACAGCAGCTAAACTTGCTAATGGATCAATCAGAACGACGTTTGATGAATAGTCTCGGAGGGTCTTTTCTCCTTGTGCACGACAAAGACGCAACTTAAAGGGCTGAGATAATGCACTAAGTCCAGAGGAGAGGCGTGCACTCCCAGTGGATGACCTAGATGAATGACTCAGCACGACAGGAAAACGCTCTAAGGAGGACAAAGCATTTTGGAGCTTCTGAACAAGGACAGTCATCAGTGCTACACTTCCTTCGTCAATACTCAAAGGAAGAGCAACAGCAACAAATGACTTAAATCTTTTAAGGGCTTGCTCACGAAGCTTGGGCAAATTAGCTTCTGAAATCCTCTCCTTGGAAAAGTACCCACAAGAAAAATAGTTAAGCAACGCTGCAACAACACCACTACCAATGAACTCAAAAGTGGATACACCGTCCCCTTTGCTTAGTTCGGCTAGCATCTCATATACGACACCAGTCAAGTACTCCTCCTTGCTTGCAGAACTATCAATCAAGCGAGACCCAGATGCTTTCGACTTTCCCTTTGCTTTCGTTTTTTGGTCATCACACCGGCATTCAACTTCATGCATAGATTCTTTAAATGTAATAGATCATCTGTAACTCCAATTTCAACAGCCCCAGGATCTGAGGGGAAGTACTTGTCTTTAAAAGCTTTAGCACATGCACTGACAGCGATTCGAAGGCTGGAGCTCACAGTAGGAATCTCCACTGAACTTGGAGGTGAACCAATATTTGCTGAAGCAGGACTCTTGGTTTCTTCCAATGAATTTCCATCTGGAATTGGGTTACTGTTGCGTCGTCTATAACGCCTAGACCGTGATGATGTTCCAGAAACAGGATCACTATCCTTTTCAGCAGAAGATACTGAGGCAGGAACTGAATTTGGAGTACTAGGTAAGATAAGTTGGTCCACAGCATGAACAACACCTTCTCTCACAAACACCTTGGAGAAAGTATTGGGAAGCTTCTCCATGAGTATCTCAGCAACTTGGAGAGCAGGAACCAAGACGTGCGGATCTTTCCATGCTAAGACACCGGCTAAGAAACTACCGAATGGTTTAATAGTACTAGTTAGTAACTGTAGTGGCATGCTGTCATCATATCAAGAGATCTGATTAATAAATATAGGATACCTTGAAATATTTGTCGAACTTAATAATGACTGTATCATCTCTGCATTGCTGAAGTACATTAATTTCCCAATTACTGAAAGACATTTGTGGCGAACAGGGCCATTAACACTAGAACCATATATCTGTTTGGCAGGTACACAAAATATCAATTATCAAACATAACAAATTAACAAAATCAGCTGAATGCCAAATACTGACCTGTATTAGAACAGGAAGGAGATCCATTCCAAATTGCTGGAGAAGGGAAGGTTGTTCATTCAATAATTTCTCGCGAGCTGAAACCTCAGAACCATTTCCGTTGGTGTCTTCTTGTTTCCCAGAAGCGCTAGCAGATGACTTTTTCACAACAGGACCTTTCATAAATACATTGAAGCTGGACGGAATGGAAATGGTTCCTTGTGGTAAAGGAGGAAGTAGCTCATTTGCCAGATTGACAATCTCAAAGATCTAGCCCGAGTATAAAGAATCAAAAGAATTTAAATATCAACAATAAGAATAAATTGCAAGATTTAAAATTGGTAACCACCAAATAAAAAACTTTACACTAACAATTCAAAACCCACTTAACAATTCAAACCCAACCAAGTTTGCTGCTTTTTAGCTGTCCAGACAAACTTTCATTGTTATCTCGAAGTGATTATAAAAGGCCCCATGAAGTTCCATGTGATCTCCATATTACACACTATTCAGTTACAAACCCTGTACCGATGCTCTCCCATGAAAAACATGCAATTTTCCAACTCAACCCTACTAAAAATACCTATATGACAAGAACATCGACGTGATTTTCAACCCAACTAAAAAAAGGAGCTTGATAACAGCACCATCAGTACAATTTTCAACCCCAACTCAAAACAAACTGATTCTTTGTCATAAGTTTATAAACACGCACAGAACATATTTACTTCCAGAACTAATCAATAGCTTACAAATATAAGGTAGGAAGATACTCAGAATAAAGAACTCTACGATTTACCCAAACAGCAGAGATAATTAAATGGTGAAGCTAGAATATAACCAACAAATAAAATTACCTGCTCCGGTGGCTTACTTAAAGCAGGAGAAACTGTCGTGCCAGAAGAAATTCCAGAACCTGAAAGTACATCTTTAAGAATTCCACTGATCCCAAGAAGAAGTAAAGTTTTAGACCCTAATGGGGAACCACTTGCACAGGTTGATAGTAGCCGAATTAAACCCTGGATGGTTTTTAAGTCAAAGTTTTAGATCCTGATGGGGAACCACGGGCATATGTGCTAAACGTTCAAGTATCAAGATAAAAATAAAAACAAAATTGGACTCACAGTATAAGTAGGTGTACTGAGAGTTGACTGGGCACCTCCAGAATTGCTGGTGGAAATAAGAGACGCAGCTTGAGTAACTAGCCCATGGTTGCATAATTCGTCAAGTTTGTCAGGAGATGATGCAAAAGCTTCAGCAATTCGTGTCAGACATACAGAAGCATGCTCCAAAACCTACATAATAACAAAAGGGGAACATTATGCAATGGAAACAAAAACTAAACAGACCTAAGTTTTAACTTAGAAACTCTGAAAAGATGAACTTACCTTTGCATCATGATACTGCAGAAGGTTTGTCAGCAATGGGACAGCTTCCATCACAAAGTCAGCTGCATCTAAAGGAAGTTTCTTGCACATATTCGCAGCAGTTGATAATGCCACACGCTGTAATACAAACAGTTAACGAAAATCCAAAGTAAATAATTAAACCTTACTCAGCATACCTAATCAGGTTACAATGTAAAAAGTTAACTAGCTGGATTACCTGGACTCCAGTGGAGAAAAAATCCAAATAAGAAAGCACTGCCATAAGAGCACCCGCTCGAAGACAGGCAGTTGGGTGTTCCTGTGATATTTTCTTGAGAGCTTGCAGTGACTGTTTACATCATAACAACCATAGAAATCAGAACAGAGTACTCCAAAAGTACATCTTAAAAATGCACAAAAAACATATAAAAAAATTCACAGGAAATACCAATACTTATGTTCTATAAACAGCCATCAAAATAATAAATGCAAACAAAGGCAAACCTGCTCTGCCAAGTCCATGTACTCAATCGTCAACAACCTTGCACAAAAGCAAGAAACAGCACCATAATGCACCACAGCGGCACAAGATGATGGAAGCACATCACAAAGATGAGTGAGTGCTCTAGCTGCAAGGAGCATAATATCTGGATTGCTCTCATGATTAAGCAACCCCACAAGTACAGGCACGAATGAATCAACCGAAAACGTGCTCAACGACTCCTCAGTTCCAATTGAAAGCATTTCACAGAGCTGCGTCAGAGCTTCCACCTGTTTCCCTTCTTCCCCATCAGCTCTTAACCCAGATAATATCTTCTTCAGCCTCCCGCTCTGGTGCGATGAAGAAGCCGAACCCATAGCCGAAGAAGGAAGCAGGTCGTCCAATCCGGCGCCGATCTTCCTAAGAAGCCCCTGAAGGGCACTACTCGCTGAAGTCAAGTTCTGGTGCAAAATCCCAACACCGCCTTCACTATCATTGTCATCGTCATCGCCAGTTCCTCCACCATCCATATTCAACCCTAGGTTCCTCTCAGCTTCCCTCTCTCTTTCCCTCTCCCTCTCCCTATCCCTAATCCTAACCTCATGCTCCTTCTCCTTACCTTTATCCGAGCCATCCTTATCGGAACTCTTGTTGCGGCGGCCGCGCGAGCCGGACGATTCGTTCGTGGGGTCCATGGGTGCGGCAGGTGAGGGTTCGTTTTGGGTCCGAGAAGCGCGGGACCGGGTCGTAATCGAAGCGGGGCCAATAGAAGACAATGTAGAAGCAGAAAGACGAGCGCGCTTGGAAGAACGAGTAGTACGACCAGACGAAGAAGAAGGGGCTGCTGAGGTGGCCTCCGCCCGCTTCCGGCTCCGAGTTTCCATACAAGAACCCCAACCCCCGGAAATTCGTTTCACTCGCTCGCCACCGAGCGGCGATCACACCATAGTCGATCCGATTGTCGCCTGCGTCAAATCCAAAAGCCTTAGGAAGATGAAAAGATCGAACCTTTGTCGAATTCAGCTCAGCAGGAGCAAAACCCCCAATCTGAAACCCTAGATTGTTCACTCTGTATATATTTGAAACAAAAAAAAAAACAAAAAATCCTAAAAATGCCCAATTCAAAGGGAACCTGTATTATTCGAGGACAAAATTGATCGGATTATACAGCGATTCGGATTGAAAATTGAAATTCCAGTTCGATTTTTGGATTAGAGAGACGGACTGAGGACGAGAGTGAAAGGGGAAATAGAGGTATGAAACCTAAAAGAGTGATTGGAGAATTAAAAAGGAAAGAGAGGAGACCTTTATAGTTTATACAAATATTCATTTATAATTTTGTTTTTTTTTTAACAAATTTTTTACTTAATAAAATTTTTGTTGTTTATTTTCAATTGGAAAACTTAGAAACTAAAATTTTATTTAAACTCATAATTTTATAACCAATTAAACTTTAAATGTTAATTGTTTATATTATATAATTATAATCAAGTGCAAGATGAAATTATAAATAAAACTAAAATTTATTAATAAACTTACACTTAATAATCCGACTCCCTTTCAAAAAAAAAAAAGTTAATAATAAAATAATCCAACTTTACTATCGAAGAACTTTAAGTGTAGTAAAGCCTCATCAGCAATAGATAACTTAATCCCTTTAAATGAATAATAATTACCCAAGTGCATCTCGACTCTAAATTAAATAGGGCTGGTTCGGTATGGGATACCGAACCGAAAACCATGTCCCGATTCCCAAACTGGAATTTTTGAGAATCCCAATTTCAAGACCGATCCCAAACCAAAATTTCGGGAATCCTAAATTTCGGGAATCCCGAAATAGTTTCGGGATTTCGGGACAAATCGGGAATCCCGAAATAGTTTCAAATAATATATGCAGAACAATGGCCTTGAAGTACCTGAGGAAATACCTGACAGAAAACGGTAGAAGTTGGGATGATTCGTTCATGCTAGTAGATTGTAGCAAAATAATTGTTGAAAAGCCAACTTATCCAATGAATTTCCTCATCAAAATGGTACTTAAATCACTTGTCTACTCTAACATATTAGGGCCATGGATCGACATTGTAATCAAAGAAGCAGCAGAAAAGAAAAAAAACAGATGGAATTAAGATCCAAAGTAAACGTCTTCGATCACTTGCATATCTAAACAAAATTTTAGAGATCCAGAACCATATCCAACTACAAACATAAACAGATAAACTTAAAAACACAGCTTTGGTCCCAAAATTATAAAGATGAAGTCTTGATACAGGCAAAGCTCCGAACAAAAATCCCTTAGTCGAACAGGCTGAAACCCATATTGTCATATGATTCTTCCTTTTCTTCCACCTTCTCCTCCTTCTTCTGCTCAGTAGCGGCAGGAGCAGCAGCCCCACCACCACCGCCGACTGCGGGTGCAGAATAAGCAACTGCACCACCACCAGATGGAACAGATGCCAACTTTTCCCTTCTAGATGCAACCAGACCTTCCATAGCTTTCCTTGCTTTCTTTAACCGATTCAAGAATTGCCTATTTTGGGACTCTTACCCAGTGAAAATAAGAAACCCTTACCTGGATTTTGGGACTTGATTCGTGTCAGATTCTCATCTTCCTACGTCTGTGTGTGTGGCCGGATGAGCGCCGTTGAAGTGGACGGAGGAGCCACGTTCGAACTGGACGGGCTCGACGGATGAGCGTTGGAGCGGCGTTCGAACTTGTTTTTCTAGAGAGTGAGAGTGAGCGATTGAGAGAGATAGAGTTTGAGGAATTGAGAAGAACACAAAAGAAAATACCCAACTTAAACTTAAAATGGACATCAGGATAAGAAGATTTCGGGATTTCGGGATTTTCGGGATTACCGAATAAAATGAAATCTGAAAACCAATCCCATACCGAATTTTTCGGTATTTTTCGGTACGGGAATACCAAAGTTTGGGATAATTTCGGTTTGGGATTTTTCGGTTTGGGTTTGGGATTTTTTCGGTTTGGTTTGGGATTTTTGGGAATTTTTTCCAGCCCTAAAATTAAATAGCCCATAATTGGTTTTATGGTGGAATCTCAATTTCATCATGGTATCAGAGCGGGTTGTCCTCGTGTGAAGCCAAATGGCCACACGCGCTCCACGATACCTAGTTGTTGTCTACATGTAGGCTTTAAAATCCACCACACGTGCGGGGGCATGTTGAGAGTTGTTTCACATCGGTGAGGAACAATGTTTGCTATGTGCTTATATGATCTTGGGCTACTCCCCATATTGCTAATTGGTTTTATGGTGGAACCTCAATTTTCATATTAAAATATTAGTATTTTTAGTTTATAAAATAATAAACGATTGGTTGAAAGCATTTGAAAATATTGAAATGTAGTGTTAAGTGAAGGAACATGGTTAGATATTTATAGGAAAAAAAATTATAATTTATTATATTTTTAATTCCTCTCTACTTGTAAGTGAGATGTCTTAGGTTCGATTCTCACCAAAAGTGAAGTTGAACAACATTATTGCTAGCTCATTATGAAACTAATTAGCTAAAGCCCATATCCCTTAATGTAGCTAATATCAAATGTTTAAAAAAATTAATTTTTTTATCATTTTTAATAATTTTTTAATAATTTAAACAGTGGTGTGTCATGATGATGTCAGGCTTGAGTCATATAGGCATGGCACTGGGTCAAGCGATTACTGGTTAACTTCTTCATTGGGCTCACCTTGACACGCCCCGATCCTGGTGTCCGAATGACAACAGAATGACCACGTGCTGGCCAACACCCGAGGGTGACGCAAGCCATTTTATGAATGCGTATGCTCGGAAAATGTCATGCATTATCACTTTAAAATTGTTATAGTAGAATATTATTATACTTTTGTTAAAGTTTGTACTTGAATTTTATATTATGTAGTTACGCGCGAAATTATTATGCATGTTTCACATGCCATCGAGATAGGGTGGCACGAGTTCTTCTGGGCCGTCGCCCCTTGGCAGCGCGTGCGGCAATGCGTAAAGGTACTCGAGATCCTTCCTTAAGTTTTTTGACGTCTGTTTTCCCAAATTCAATCATTTTAGTATAATTTTATTAATTGGTCCATTTATGTGCTTAGGTGCGTTTCCGTCCTCCCTAGTTCGAACGACTATTCAATGACTGAGTATCTGTGAGTGGATCCCTTCTAAAATGCATGATTTTATTATTAGAAATGCATACATGAAAAACATGATTTTATGACTACGTTTTATGAAACGTTTATTGAGTTATCGGATTAACGCTTTATGAAATATCATGCTTTATCGAACTTATGTTACAGATATATTTATGAATATGATTATGATATGATATTTGAGCTATTGAGTCCCGATGAGATATAGTTTGGAAAGATTATGTTTATGATTTTATGTGCTTACTTATATATGCCTTCGGGCAGGCAATGTAGGGCCTTCAGGTGGAAGATTTATATATGCCTTTGGACGGGCGATGTAAGGCATTTGGGTGGAAGATTTATATATGCATTCGGGCGGGCGATGTAGGGCCTTCGGGGGGAAGATTTATATATGACTTCGAGCGGGTGATGTAGGTCTTTCAGGCGGAAGATTTATATATACCTTTAGACGGGTAATGAAGTGCCTTTGGCGGAAGATTTATATATGCCTTCGGGTGGGCGATGTAGGGCATTCTGGTGGAAGATTTATATATGCCTTCGAGCGAGTGATGTAGGGCCTACATGTAACATCCCACACCGCCCAGGGGAATGATCCTTAAATGTATATTTACATCCCTACCTAGCACGAGGCCTTTTGAAAGCTCACTGGCTTCAAGTTCCGTAGGAACCCCGAAGTTAAGCAAGAAAGAGGCCAGAGCACTCCCAGAATAGGTGACCCACTGGGAAGTTGCTCATGAGTTCCCAAAAACAAAACCGTGAGGGAATGGTAAGCCCAAAGTGGACAATATCGTGCTACGATGGTGGAACGGGCCCGAGATGTGGTGGACCCAAGCCGGGATGTGACAAATGGTATCAGAGCCAATCCCTAGTCGAAAGTGTGCCGACATGATGTCGGTGTTGGAAATATGCCCTGAAAGTCAATCTTTGGAAGAAATCTTTCAAGACAAATGAATGGATGTATGGATGAATCTTATACATCAAAGGCAAAAACACGAATTAGGACTATCTCAATGAACGATATATGTCCTAAATAGTGTATCCATGGACAATAGATTGATTGAAGAAGTAATCTAATGATGTTAGATTACAGAGACCTTCTTCATATAACCAAATGTCCAAAAGGTTCCTAGTCATTGGATTGTCGGAGGGATACTGACAATGCGTAGACTGGTACATACTGTGTCTGCTTCAAATGGAAGGATGGAAAGTCTCATCCCATTCGTGTTGTGACACTAAGACAAGTATGTAGGTGCTCATTAGGGGAATGAGTTCACTGAACACAATCGAACGAGAGTACTTGCATGGAGGTCTACTCACATGTCAAGCAAGTAACTCTAATGGTTGGAATAATGTAAGTAGTCCTTAGACCTGAGGCATCGTCGTTGTCTTGTGGCTAAGTACTTAATCTTTGATTATGTCAAAGTCTCCCCATTTGAGGGTGTCCACGGCATGATTGGGGTTAAGCCACTTAGTCATGAAGGCAAGTGTATGCGCAACAAGGAATCTCTAATCCTCGGTAAAGAGAGGAAGAATGCTCTAAGATATGATTCGAGAATCTTCGGCCGAAGTATCGAGCGTATTAAAAGGAATGCGTTCCTATATACGACTCAAATGAATCATATAAGAAGGAATAATCACATTAGGGGTTTGACATAATATATCCATACCCTAATGATGTGATTGAGAGTATTGTATTAGAGAAGGATCGAATTACATTGTAATTCTAACTGAAATAGGTTCTCTGAATAAACTTCTACATTAGCTTGGGTAGCTATGACATATGGTTAGATGTCACTCATAGCTTGTGAGTTCTTCTAGATGATTAAATGTAGTCATCAAAGAAGAATGGTGAATTGAAATGAAGTTTCAATTCACTAAGTGATTGAATTAATTGGATTAGTGCCAATTACCTCACTGCCTTGCTAATTAGAACCTAAAAGATTGTTCACCAATACACTATTGTAGTGAGTAATTAATGGATGATGGAAACAATTAATTGGATTAATTATGTGTTGTGATTAATTTAGAAAAGTCTAAAGAAATCATAAAAGCGATAAAGATCGTTTTGGGCTTAAAGAAACGTTCGGGTTTAATTGGGCCCATTGGGCTTTCATTCAAGCATTGGATGACTTGA